TGAGAATTTTTGGCACGGTAGTCTTGCTCTGTCACCCAGGCTGGAGTGCAGTAGTGTGATCTTGGCTCACTGCAGCCTTGACCGCCCAGGCTCAATTGATCTTCCCACCTCAGCCTCCTGACTAGCTGGGACTACAGGTGTGGGCCACCAATCTCAGCTAATTTTTAAAATATTTAGTAGAAACAGGGTCTTACTATGTTGTCCAAGCTGGCCTCAAACCCCTGGATTTAAGTGATCCATCCGCCTTGGCCTTCCAAATGTTGGGATTAGAGGCGTAAGCCACCAAGCCTGGCCCTGACAACTTCTGTAATCACCTCCTCTCCCAGTTTGTTCTTTTTCCTAAAACTTGGTTGTTCTTTGTAACCTTCCTCCCTTTCTAAAACAGGGCGAGAGATTTGGGTTTCAGGCGTTAAAAGGAAAACTGCCTTGTCTGGCCTCGCTTCACAGCGCAGGATCTGCAGTCCGAAGCTGGCGGTTTGGCTCCCTTCCTGCTGTGGTTTCAGTTTTTTGGCCTGAATTACACAGCATGCTTTTAAAATTGCTGCATCCCATTGTTTGTAATTCAGACCTTTTTTCCCCCTTAAATTGGTGACCAAGGCTGGGTGTGATGGCTCATGCCTGTAATCCCAGCACTTTGGGAGGCCAAGGCGGGTGAACCACTTGAGGTCAGGAGTTTGAGACCAGCCTGGCCAACATGGTGAAACCCTGTCTGTAGCTAAAAATACAAAAAATAAATAAATAAAAGTAAGTGAAGTGTGTTGGTGCACCTGTAGTCCCAGCTACTCAGGAGGCTGAGGTGGGAGAATCTCTTAAACCTGGGAAGTGGAGGTTGCAGTGAGCCCAGATCGTGCCCATGCACTCCAGCCTGGGCAAAGAGAGCAAAACTCTGTCTCAAAAAAAAAAATTGGTGACAAATTCCTGTTAGTTTTAAACTGGTGCATGAAGGTGAGTTATCTCCTTGGCCCTCAAGTTGAGAGATTTAGAAGTTTGTTTGTTTTAGAGGGTGCTCTCAGTCACTTAAGGATGTAAATCTTTTTTATTTTATTTATTTATCTTGAGACACAGTGTCACTCTGTCATCCAGGGAATTAGCTAAGCAGCATTCCAGCTGAGACTGGATTCAAAACAAAGTTACAGTTCTTTAGAGCCACCACAGATTCCTTTCCTCAGTGGATACTCTAGCTTAGGAGCACCACTCATTGGGAATTAATTTGAATTTACTTAAAGTTATTTATGACTCTTGACCATGTGGGATACATTATCTTTTCTACCAAAGGAAACTAAAATATTGCTCTCTCAAATACTGGGCATTGAGCTGAAGACAGTGCAGGGGCTCTCTCCACCTCTGCTGTGTCTGCCTAAAGGTAGGACATAAATTCTTTACTGAAGACAGCTACTCATCAGCCCACGGATGGGGCCAGCAGGGCCGGAGGAATCTGTGAGCAGATTTTAGACCCTAAAAGACTTTGAAAATAGAGTCTCACTCTGTGGTTCAGGCTGAAGTCAAGTGGCCCAGTCACAGTTCTGGGACTACAGATGCGCCACCATGCCTGGCTAATTAAAAAAAAAAAACAACTTTTTTTTTTTTTTTTGAGAACTAGTTTCACTCTTATTGCCCAGGCTACAGTGCAGTGGCAGGATCTCAGCTCGCCACAGCCTCTGCCTCCCGGGTTCAAACGATTCCCCTGCCTCAGCCTCCTGAGTAGCTAGGATGACAGGCATGTACCATCATGTCCGGCTAATTTTGTATTTTTAGTAGAGGCGGGGTTTCTCCGTCTTGGTCAGCCTGGTCTCAAACTCGCTACCTCAGGTGATCCACCTGCTTCGGCCTCCCAAAGTGCTGGGATGAGCCACTACGCCCGGCCAATTCTTTTTTTTTGGTGGGGGGGTAGAGGAGGCACCTCTTTATGTTGCCCAGGCTGGTCTTGAACTCTTGGCCTCTGGGATCTTTCCACCTCGGCCTCCCAGAGTACTGGGATTACAAGCATGAGCGCTCACCCCAGCCCAGCCCCATACGTTTTACCTTCCCTAACTCTCCCGACTTCTGGCTCTGGTCCCGTGGGCGGTTTTCTTTTTCTAGTTTCCTGCCTCTTTATCCCTGCCACCCGGCCTGTGTGCACAGTCAGCTGAGAAGCTGCGGCATTAGAAAACATGGCCTGACAGCTGCGGGTTGCACCCGTGCAGCCAGCAAGACTTTCTTTAAGCTGTCCTTGAGAGGGGCCTGGGTCCTGAAAACCATAAAGGGATTCTTAATTTTGGTCTCGCGCGTCGCGTTGGTTTCCAGTCATTTGTGTAGGTGCCCTTGAACGACGCAGATGTGTGGTTTGTATTTAGAATACGACGGGGGTTTTTGTTTCGTTTAGCCTTCTCCTAAGCGAAATGAAACCATATACAGTTCATTAAAACTCGATGACAAACTGCTTTAAATAGTGATTACCCTAGACCTCTAATGAGCACGTGCTCCACCTCCAAAACTTTTTGGGGGGGCTGGGTGGGGGAGGGACAAGGTCTGGTTCTGTCCGCCTGGGCTGGAGTGCAGTGCCGCATTCTTGGCTTATTACAGTGGGTAGCTAGTCAGGCGTGAGCAGGACGGGACGGCTTCCTCCGCCCACCAGGGATGTCAGACGACCGTCGGTGATGGTGAGGCAGTTGTCACACTGCCTCTCTGAAATAATTGGTCACAGCCAGCACCAGGGAAAGATAGTTTCCCTAGTAGACCAATACCTGAAGCTGGTAATCAGCAGCTTCCCGGTAAGATCTCAGGAACCGGGCAAGTGGGCTCAAGCATGTGCAGTAAGAGGTGCAGAATGGTGGCATTTACCTGGTGTGTCTGCTTCCAGGGACTTTCCACCTGTAAGGGAAGAAGCCTCAGGGGAGCATGTGCACGCTCCAGTACACACACTACACATGCTCGCTCCCAAGTGCTAGCCGGCCACTGTGCGTGCGGGCAGCCTACCCCAAGGGAGGAATGGGGAGGACGTCTAGAACCCTACCTCAGAGGACAGACAGGGCCCTTGTCTCACGCTGCCCACTTGGCCTCTTCCAAGTGCACTTTCCTTCCTTCTGTTTCTGCTCTAGCCCTTTTTAATAAACTTTCACTCCTATTCTAAGACTTGGTGCAGCTTCTTCCGCCTTTTGGCCTCTGGTCACATTCTTTCAGATTTGCCGCTGGCCACTCAGATACCTGCCATTGGCAACAGGCTCACTGCAGCCTCAGCCCCCCTGGCTCAAGCCATGCTCCCACCACAGCCTCCTGAGTAGTTGGGATCACAGGTGTGCCCCACCACACCTGGCTAATGTTTGTATTTTTTGTAGAGATGAGGTTTTACCATGTTGCCCAGGCTGGTCTTGAACTTGTGAGCTTGAGCGATCCCACCTGCCTCAGCTTCCCAGAGTGCTGGCATTATAGGCATAAGCCACCACCACAGGCCTTTATTGTTATTTTTGAGACAGAGTCTCACCTTTGTCACCCAGGCTGGAGTGCAGGGCCGCATCACAGCTCACTGCAGCCTTGATCTCCCAAGTTCAAGGATCTTCCCACCCCAGCCCCGAGCAGCTGGGACCACAGGCACATGTGCCGCTCACTGAGTTGGGTGGGCTGGTCTCAAACTCCTGGATTCAAGTGATGCTCCCAGTTGAGCCTCCCAAAGTAGTAGGATTACAGGGGCGAGCCACCGTGGCCAGCTTCAAATCTCCTTCTTGGTGTCAGTTTCAGGAAGGAAAAACCAAGAAATAAGAATGTTGACTATTTTCCTGGTTAAACCCGACGAAGGGGTGTTTGTAAAGAGCTTACTTCAAAGTTGACTTGAGAAGCTGATATCTGGGATATATGTGTATACACAGTTGTTGTTTTGAGGCCTCTGTTCTCTCTATAAAAGCTGCTTGGCCAGGCAAGAAACTACAAAAAATACAAAAATTAGCTGGGCATGGTGGTATGTACCAGTAGTCACAGCTACTCAGGAAGCTGAGGCAGGGGAATTGCTTGAACCCGGGAGGCAGAGGTTGCAGTGAGCTGAGATGGTGCCACTGCACTCCAGCCTGGGTAACAGAGCACGGCTCTGTCTCAAAGAAGACATAGGCTGGGCATGGCGGCTCGCGCCTGTAGTCCCAGCACTTTGAGAGCCTGAGGCAGGAGGATCACTTGAGGTCAGGAGTTCAAGACCAGCCTGGCCAACATAGTGAATCCCATCTCTATCAAAAATGCAAAAATTAAAGGCCAGGCACAGTGGCTCAAAAGTGTAATTTCAGCACTTTCGGAGGCCAAGGCAGACAGACCGCCTGAGGTCACAAGTTGAAGACCTCCCTGGTCAACATGGTGAAATGCTGTCTCTACTTGGCAGGCATCTGTAATCTCAGCTACTTGGGTGACTGAAGCAGGAGAATCACTTGAACCCAGGAGGTGGAGGTTGCAGTGAGCCGAGATCGCACCATTGCACTCTAGCCTGGAGGGCAAGAACAAAACTCCTTCTCAAAAAAAAAAAAAAGCCAGGTGCGGTGGCACACACCTGTATTTCCAGCTACTTGGGAAGCTGAGGCAGGAGAATCGCTTGAACCTGGGAGGTGGAGGTTGCGGTAAACTGAGACTGTGTCACTGCACTCCAGTCTGGGCTACAGAGTGAGACCCCGTCTCAAAGCAAAACAAGACAAGATTTCACCATGTTGCCCAGGCTGGTCTCGAATTCCTAAGTGGAAGTGATTTGCCCTCCTCAGCCTCCCAAAGTGCTGGGATTACAGGTGTGAACCACCATGCCCAGCCTGGGCCTGATAATTTAAGGGGGGCTCACAGTTCTCAGGACTCCCTCTACCCACCCAGTATGCCTCCTGAGTCCTTCCCTCTTCTCAGGCGCAGCCTATGGCAGGGCCTGAAGGGGCCCCTTGACACCATGGCCCTCATTGGGACTCCACAGTGAGCTTCTAGCAAGATGAGGAGCACGCTAGGCTTTGCCCAACCCCAGGCTGGTTGTGGCTGTTCCCTCCGTGACTGGCTTTTTGTCTCCGCAGGTTCTGCTTGGATTCTGCCAGACAGACCCGACAAAGACTGTCTATCAACTGGTCCAATTTCAGCTTGAAAAAGGCCACCTTTGCTGCCCACTGAACGAGGACTGCCTGGAGAGGGACACGTAAGAGGCAGGCCAGGCTGCGCCACCCCAAGAGCCAAGCCCCTTGCTGGCACCCCAGAGCGGCGGTGCTCGCCAAGGGCTGTGCGGAGCCGGTGCTGCCTGAGACCCCAGACTGAGAAGTTGATGAGCGGCCCACGCTGTTAGCTCGTGTGCGTGTAGTCTGTGCGTGAGACTCCTTCGACTGTAGCTCTGTGCTGTCGGATTGGAACAGCATTTCCCGCCAAGTCCTCCCACCACTGAGGCCTCAGAGGCCTGGGCCGGGGCCAGATAGGAGTTTGCATCATCCACGTGGCTCCGTTGCCTCTGCATTGCGCCCTGTCCTGTCATCTGTCCTCACTGGGGTATTGGCCGTCACTCAGCTCTCCTGTGCCCCTGCGTCCCACCCTAGGCGGGCTGGGCGGGGCAGGCCTCCTTCGTTCTCCACAATCTGCTGTCTCTGAGTGTACACGTTGCGCTGTTTGTGTTTGGTCCCCCCTGACGTGTAGCCGGCTTGTGGAAGATCCCTTGCAGAATGAGAAAGTTAAAAACAAGAAACCCACCCAGTACTCACACCATCAAGTCTCTTATAGAGTGTACGACTGTATTAACACGGAGGCCTGCCTGGCTACTTTTTTAACATATTGTTAAGTAATATTAAAATCATGTCTTTCTTTTTGAAAGATGGAATACATTAGTACAGCAGGAGACCTCGGCTGCTTCTTTCTGCTGGGGGGGTGGGGATGGTGGGAGGGGGCGTGCAGCTGATGCACCCCACCATGGGAGCCAGGGCCCCACCTCGGCGCGGTTCCCAGTCTCTCCAGGCAGCAGCTTTGCGATCTTGGGGCCCCTGCCATCCTCTGTGTGCCCAGCAGAGCAGGCAGCAGGAGACAGCAGCCGACCACGTCATCGGGGTCAATTTGTGAAGTGCTGAGTGCTATGAAGCAGCAAATGGGGCGGGGCAGGGTCAGCAGGTCCCCACAGAGCAGCTGGGGACACCCTGGGGACAAGGGGACCTGGATTAGGACGTACTGGCTTAAAGGAGGCCACAGGCCCCTGCCGCACACAGCAAAGGGGGGAGGTGTGTCGCAGGCTGGGATCACAGGGCCTCATAGGCTGGTGCTCTTCCTGCTGTGGGGTGGGATGTGATTTATAATAAAATAATGAATTACGAATCTTGAATTGGGTATAAGTTATAAATAAGGTGAATAGTATTTAAAATGAAGGCAGGAATCCCAGGACGGCCCCTTTTTTCTGATATCTCTTCAGGCAGATCTCTTAGAGAAAGCTCCCATGGAGCTGCATCCTGGTTACTGCTCACCACCTAGAACACTCAATAGCTCCCACTTCTCCCAGCCTCATGTTCAGCCTGCCTCTGTGTGCCCCGTCGGAATATGACTTCACCCTGAGTGAAGGTGAAGAGGGGAGGGCCAGCTTCTGGAGGTATTCGGACAATGGGGCCACAGGATTTCCTGGTGGACAGGACACAGGTAGGAGGAAGAGCGGATGGTCTGCACTGTGTGCCCTGGAGGTGGGCGGTGGGACTGGCACCCACCAGCCACCCAGGAGAGACGTCTGGAATTGGGGACTGCTGCTCATGCACAGACCCTGTATGAGGGCTCACCCTCATACCCTCATACTACATGAGCAGATGGGATTGGGGTCCCAAGCCGTGGGATCAGGAAGGCAGAGAGTGAGGAGTCCTTGAGGCAGGTCAGAGGAGACAAGGGCCTGGGCAGCGCCCCCACGGGGTGCCAGTTTGCAGGAGAATGAGGTGGGGTAGCAGGTCCTAGAACTGGAGTCTGCCCTAGACAGCCAGAAATGGGTCACCAGCCAGGGGGTGCAGCATAAGGAACTTCCCTCGCTTCATGTTTTCCAGGTGTGAAGAAGAGAAACCCGTTTGTTCATGGGATGTCAGGGCAGAGGACAAAGCAGGCTGGGCCACGACCACGGCAACAGTAGTGTCCTCGAAGGGCAGAAACCCAGTGCAGGCCCCAGGACTCCGGCCTCCCCCTCTGGCTGCAGTGGGGGCTGAGGAAAGGCCCAGGACCGGACCTCGCCCTGAGGGGAAGCTGCCTGCCCAGGTCCCAGGAGCCTGGCCCACTCTTCCCATGGAGAGCCTTGACACTGCTAGGCCCAGTCCCATGTCTGGGTCTCAGCCTCCTCTCCCAGTAGAATCATACTTGCTGCTGAGGGGAACTGGGTGCTGCAGCACACTAAGCACTATGCTGGGACCCAGAGACCCTCAGACGCCACCCCCCACGCCAGGTTCTGAGCACTCCCACCTCCATGGGGGCCCCGCCTATGGCGACTTCACTGCCCTGCCCCATGACCGGCACCTACTCGAATTGGCCCTCAGGCTCCCAGCCTTTCTCCTGGCCATGCTCTTGCCAAGGAGCTTCCCCTATTTCCCTCGAAACCACTCTTCCAACATCCCAGGGTGCTTATAGGACATCCAGCTCCAGAGTCCCTGACTTGATGGGAGCTCCTTGGGTTCCTGATGACATGGGGGAGGGTGGGACGGCCCTATGGGAGCCTCACACGTTTGACTCAACTAATAGCACAGGGTGAGAATCCCTCATCCCTTATCTGGCATGCTTGGTACCAGAAGTGTGTCAGGTTTCAGACTTGTTGGGATTTGGGATATTTTCATCATGCTTACTGATTGAGTATTTCTAATCCAAAAATCTGAAATCCAAAATGCCCCAACCAGCATTTCCCTGGAGCATCATCTTAATGCTCAAAAACATTTGGATTCTGGAACATTTTGAGTTAGACATACCCAACCTATAATAATAGTCATGCACAGAAATAGAATACCAATAGCTAGAAAGGAAGCCCTAACAATGAACAGCTGTATTGAGATGCTTACTGTTCTCTGCACCCTCAGCTCTGAGTCCTGTAGTAGATAAACAGGCGGTAAAACAGATCGCTCCTCATCTCTTCCCAAAGGAACGGACTTCATCTGCAACAAAGAGGTTCAAGCCTGAAGGCACGCTCAGAAACAGTGGAGGCTGTGAAACCCTGGGGACAGAGATAAGATCCAGGCTCAGCTAAGAGCTGGGAGGAGACATCCTGGGCTCAGAACAGATACCGCAGTGTTCGCAGAAACCGGCCCTTCAAAGGAGTCAGAATTTGATCGGATTTGGTGGTAGAGCCATCTGTACCCCAGGTCACTGTTGAAAACAGTAGAGTTGGCAGTTAGTGGTTTAAGGGCTGAAAGTGATCAGGGAAAGAGGAAGAGAACTATGCCAAGATGACTGTCATCCCAGGGCGAGTGTGGGCGAGTGTGTACGCAAAGCTACACACCCCGAGGAGCAACGTCATAGGCTGAATACTAGTGGGGAGAGGGTGTTAAAGAGATTTCACGAGATAATCCAAAGACCCAGTGGGAAGGAGTATGAAGGAATAGTTCCCAGAATCACCGCTATACATTATCCAAGACGGCAAGTGTTCAATACAGTGAGCTCCAGCTTTCTCTTCAGAGCATCAGTATGTTCAGCGTTCTCATGATCTGTTCTCCATTTGCAAGTTGAGCTTCCTGCTTCTCTTCACCCCCTTGCCTCTAGTTTCAGTAAACAGCTTTCCCGCCAGTTCTAATCAGTGGTTCACATATGTTCCCCTGGGCGCCTGCTTTGACCTAGGTCACCTTTAGTCACCTGCTCTGTCCTGACTCATCCTGGTCACCCGCTGTGACCTGAGTCACCCTTAGTTACCTGTTCCATAACCATCCTTCCCACGAAACTGCTCACCTGCCACTGTGGCTCATACCCCTGCTCCCTTTAAAATAGCCAATTGGAATTAGCTTAGACTACAGTCCAACCCTAGCCAACAGAGGAACGACACGGCAGTGGGAGCTACCTGCGTCGAGGATAAGAACCCCTCCCCTCCCTGTTCAGGAGTGCTCTCACCATTGCTCCATCCATGGGATGCACCCTTCTGTAGAAGTAAATTGCCTTGCTGAGAAAATTCTTTATTTATTTTTATTTTTATTTTTTTAGAGACAGGGTTTCACCATGTTGGTCAGGCTGGTCTCGAACTCCCGACCTCAGGTGGTGATCTGGCCACGTCAGCCTCTCAAAGTGCTGGGATTACAGGTGCGAGTCACCACGCCCTGCCTTGCTGTTAAAATTATTTGAGTGCTGGTTCTTCTTTTTGGCACTGAGGAACAAGCATTTGTTTCTAACATCAAGTTTCTTTTTTGTTTTTTGAGACGGAGTTTCGCTCTTGTTACCCAGGCTGGAGTGCGATGGCGCAACCTCGGCTCACCGCAACCCCCGCCTCCTGGGTTCAGGCAATTCTCCTGCCTCAGCCTCCTGAGTAGCTGGGATTACAGGCACGTGCCACCGTGCCAAGCTAATTTTTTTGTATTTTTAGTAGAGACGGGGTTTCACCATGTTGACCAGGATGGTCTCGATCTCTTGACCTCGTGATCCACCCGCCTCGGCCTCCCAAAGTGCTGGGATTACAGGCTTGAGCCACCGCGCCTGGACAAGTTTCTAACAAAAAGGTATGAAGTGTGCAAAAAAACTGGAATGTACGACCCACGTATAGTTGGGAGAAAAAAACAAAAACAAAAACTAGAAACTAGCAGCAGACACTTCCCGTGAAAAGCAGCGAAGTTGGATTTATCAGAAAAAGACTTTAAAACAGCCATTATAGACATGTTTACAGAACTAAAGGAACCCATTACTAAAGAAGTAAACAGGCACGGTGGCACATGCCTGTAATCCCAGCACTTTGGGAGGCCAAGGTGGGAGGATTGCTTGAGGCCAGGAGTTTGAGACCAGGCTGGGCAACATGGCAAGACCCTGTCTCTACAAAAATCTTAAAATTAAAATTAGAAAATTAACCAGGCCTGGCATGGTGGCACCCAGCACTTTGGGAGACTGAGTGGATCACTGGAGGTCAGGAGTTTGTGACCAGCCTGGCCAACATGGCGAAACCCGTCTCTACTACAAATCCAAAAATGAGCTGGGTGTGGTGGTGCATGCTTGTAGTCCCAGCTACTCAGGAGGCTGAGGCAGGAGAATCGCTTGAACCCAGGAGGCAGAGGATGTAGTGAGCTGAGGTCGTGCGACTGCACTCCAGCCTGGGTGACGGAGTGAGACTCTATCTCAAAAAAAAAGAAAAGAAATGATATAGTAAGGCTGCATCAAATGAAGATAGAGATTATTTTAAATGAACCAGTGGGAATTATGAAATCTGAAAGGTTTAATTAAAAAATTTTTTTTGAGTTAAAGTCTCACTCTGTCACCCAGGCTGGAGTGCAGTGGCACCATCTCTAACTCCTGACCTCAGGTGATCCACCCACCTCAGCCTTCTAAAGTGCTGAGACTACAGGTGTGAGCCACTGCACCCAGCCTAAATTTTAAAATTAGCAGAAGAAAGAGTAAGTGGATTTGAAAATAGCCTGATAGAGATTATGCCAGCCAAAGAACACAGAGAAAATAATAAAAATAAAGAGTCTCAGAAAACTGTGGGACACCATTAAGCATACCAGCATATGTGTAATGGGAATATCAGAAGGAGAGCAACGAGTAGAAAACATGTTCAAAGAAATAATGGCTGAAAACCTCCCAAACTGAAAAATAGGAAGTTACACATCCCAGAAGTTGAAAATGTTATATTAAGAAAGAAGAAAGATCTCAAATCAGTAAACTAACTTGTCACCTTAACACACTGGAAAAAGAGCAAACTAGGCCTAAAGTCAGCAGAAGGAAGGAAATTACAAAAGTTAGATCAGAAATTAAGAAAACAGAGGATGCAAAGATAATGGAGAAAATCAACAAAACCAAAAGCTTTGAAAAGATAAACAAAATTGACATCTTTAGCAAGACTGACAAAGACAGAAGGATTCAGATTGCTAGAATCAGAACTGGTCACACAGAAATAAAAAGGATTTTAAAGGAATACTAGGACAATTATATGCCAGCAAATTTGGTACCTTAGACGATGTCTTAGTCCATTTATGCAGCTACGACCAAATATCACAGACTGGGTAATTCATAAATAATAGAAATGTATTTATTCCGGTTCTGAAGGCTGTGAAGTTCAAGAGCACAGTGCACCAACAGGGCTCACTCTCCACTTCCTACGTGGTACCTTGTTGCTGTGTCTTCATATGGTAGAAGGGCAGAAGAGGAGCAAGGGTGATCCCTTCAGCCTCTGTTTTCAAAGCTGTAACCCCATTCCTGACGATGGAGCACTCATTACTTGAACACTCCTGGAAGGCCCTACCTCTTAATGCTATCACCTTGGGTACTGGGTTCTAACATATGAACATATAAACCATAGCAGATGAAACGGACACATTTTAGACAGGAACAAACTGTAAGAGCTGACTCCAGAAGAAACAGACAATCTGAACAGACCTATAATGAGTGAAGATGTTGAAATGGTAATTTAAAACGGGAAAAGTACCCACAAAAGCTCAAGCCTACACGTTTTCACTGCTGGATTTTACCACACAGTTAGAGAAAAATTGAAACCAATTTTTCAAACTCTCTCAGAAATAGAAGAGGAAACACTTCTCAACTAACTCTCTGAAGCCAGTAATACCTTAATGCCAAAACCAGACAAAGACATCACGAGAAAACTACAGACAAACATCTCAGAGTCCTCAGAGGCAACGCCACACATCTACAACCTTCTGATCTTTGACAAACCTGACCAAAACAAGCAATGGGGAAAGGATTCCCTGTTTAATAAATGGTGTTGGGAAAATTGGCTAGCCATGTGCAGAAAGCAGAAAGTGGACCCCTTCCTGACACTTTACACTAAAATTAACTCCAGGTGATTTAATTCAAGACTTAAACATAAGACCTAACACCATAAAAACCCTAGAAGAAAATCTAGGCAAAACCATTCAGGACATAGGAATAGGCAAGAACTTCATGATCAAAACACCAAAAGCATTGGCAACAAAAGCCAAAATAGACAAATGGGACCTAATCAAACTCCACAGCTTCTGCACGGCAAAAGAAACAGTCACTAGAGTGAATCGGCAACCAGCAGAATGGGAAAAAATGTTTGCAGTTTACCCATCTGACAAAGGGCTGATATCCAGAATCTACAAAGAACTAAAACAGATTTACAAGAAAAAAAAGACTCATTCAAAAGTGGGTGAAGGTTATGAACAGATACTTTTCAAAAGAAGACATATACGAGGCCAACAAACATGAAAAAATGCTCATCGTCACTGGTCATCAGAGAGATGCAAATCAAAACTACATTGAGATACCATCTCACGCCAGTTAGAATGGCGGTCATTAAAAAATCTGGAGACAATAGATGCTGGAGAGGATGTGGAGAAATAGGAACACTTTTTACACCGCTGGTGGGAGTGTAAATTAGTTCAACCATTGTGGAAGACAGTGTGGCGATTCCTCAAGGACCTAGAAATAGAAATTCCATTTGACCCAGCAATCCCATTACTGGGTATATATCCAAAGGACTATAAATCATTCTACCATAAGGACACATGCACACGAATGTTCACTGCAGCACTGTTTACAATAGCGAAGACCTGGAACCAACCCAAATGCCCACTGATGATAGACTGGACTGGGAAAATGTGGCACATATACACCATGGAATATTATGCAGCCATAAAAAAATGATGAGTTTGTGTCCTTTGTAGGGACATGGATGAAACTGGAAGCCATCATTCTCAGCAAACTGACACAAGAGCAGAAAATCAAACACCGCATGTTCTCACTCATAGGCGGGTGTTGAACAATGAGAACACATGGACACAGGGAAGGGAGCATCACACACTGGGGTCTGTTGCGGGGGACTAGGGGAGGGTCAGTGGGGGGTAGGGAGTTGGGGAGGGATAACATGGGGAGAAATGCCAGATATAGGTGATGGGATGGAGGCAGCAAACCACATTGCCATGTATGTACCTATGCAACAATCCTGCACGTTCTTCACATGTACCCTGGAACCTAAAGTGCAATAAAAGAAAAAAAAAAGAATATCGATGCTAAATTTCTCAACAAAATACTAGAAAACCAAATCCAGCAATATAAAAAAGAATACACACCGTGATCAAGTGGGATTTATCCCAGGAATTCAAGGGTGGTTCAATATCCAACTTATAATTAATGTAATACATCATATCACTAGAAATTTTAATCACATGATTATCTCAATTGATGCAGAAGAAACATTTGACAAAATCCAACACTTTTCACAACAAAGACATTTCACCAAATGTGAATAGGAGATAACTTTCTCAACCTGAAGAATGACATCTACAAAAAATTCAGTTAGTATCATCCTTAATGAGGTGAAAGACTGGATGCTTCACCCTAAGATCAGGAACAAGGTGAAGATATCTGTTCTCGCAGTTTCTGTTCAACATTGTGCTGGAGGTTCTAGCCAGAGCAGTTAGGCAAGATGAGGAAATAAATGGCACCCAAACTGGAAAAAAAGTAAAACGATTGCTATTTGCAGATGACAAGATCATGTATGTAAATAATCCTAAGGAATACACTAAAAAGCTACTAAGACTAATTGAACAATTTCAGTAAAGTTACAGGATCAAGATCATACAGAAGTCAGGCTGGGCACAGTGGCTCACACCTGCAATCCCAGCACCTCTGGAAGCCAAGGCAGAAAGATTGCTTGAGCCCAGGAGTTTGAGATTAGCCTGGGCAACATAGTGAGACCTCATCTATACTAAAAAAAAAAAATTAAAAATTATTTGGGCATGGTGGTACACACCTGGAGTCCCAGCTGTTTAGGAGACTGAGGTAGAAAGATTATTTGAGCCTTGAAGTTTGAGGTTGCAATGAACTAAAATTGCACCCACTGCAATCCAGCCTGGAGCAACAGAGCAAGACCCTGTTTCCAGAGGAGGGAAAAAGTGAAACAATCACCCTACATAATGGGAAAAGAGGCTGGGCATGGTGGCTCATGCCTGTAATTCCAGCATTTTGGAAGGCCAAAGTGGGTGAATCATTTAAGATCAGGAGTTAGCCTGGCCAACGTGTCCCTGCCTCTACTAAAAATGCAAAAATTAGCCGGGTATGGTGGTGGGTGCCTACTTGGGAGGCTGAGGCAAGAGAATTGCTTGAACTGGGGAGATGGAGGTTGCAGTGAGCTGAGATTGAGATCATACCACTGAACTCCAGCCTGGGCAACAGAGCAAGACTCAGAAGGAAAGGAAGGAAGGAAGGAGAAGGAAAGAGAGAAAGAAAAAGAAAGAGAGAGGGAGGGAGGGAGGGAGGGAGGGAAGGAGGAAGGGAGGCTGGGCACAGTGGCTCATGCCTGTAATCCCAGCACTTTGGGAGGCCAAGGCAGATGGATCACCTGAGGTTGGGAGTTCAAGACCAGCCTGACCAACATGGAGGAACCCTGTCTCTACTAAAATACAAAATTAGCCGGGCGTGGTGGTGCATGCCTGTAATCCCAGCTACTCAGGAGGCTGAAGCAGGAGAATCACTTCAACCTGGGAGGCAGAGGTTGTGTACGCAGAGATCATGCCATTGCACTCCAGCCTGGGCAACAAGAGCGAAACTCCGTGTCAAAAAGAAAAGAAGGAGGGAAAGATAGTTGCAAATATGATGATAAACTTGTATCCAAAATATACAAGGAGCTCATACAACTCAATAATAAAAAGGCACCCCAATTTAAAAATGGGTAAGGATGGGGCACCGTGGCTTATGCTGTAGTCCCAGCACTTTGGGAGGCCAAGGCAGGAGGATCACCTCAGCCCAGGAGTTCAAGACTATTCTTGGCAACATGGCAAGACCCTGTCCCTACAAAAAGTCAAAAATCAGATGGGTGTGGTGGCACATGCCTGAGGTCTTAGCTACTTGGGAGGCTGAGGCAGGAGCGAATTAGTCTGGCCACTATGGAAGACAGTATGGAGATTAATCAAAAAACAGCAGTTGAGGTGGCGCATGCCTTAGCACTTGGGAGGCCGAGGCAGGAGGATCACTGGAGCCCAGGAGCTCGAGGCTGCAGTGAGCCATATTGACACTACTGCACTCCAGCCTAGGTGACAGAGTGAGACCTGGTCTCAAAAAAATAAAAAATGCAACAATAAAGAAAAGAAAAAGAAAATTAAAAAAAAAAGAAATAAAGAATGAAGCTAAACCCCTCTTTTTCATCATATACAAAAATCAAAGTGGATTAAGGTCTTAAATCTCAGACCTCAAGCTATGAAACTGCTGAAAGGAAACATTGCGGAGACTCTCTAGGACGCTGGTCTGTGCGGAGATTTCCTGAGCAATCGATACCCCAAAGCAAAATGGACAGACGCGTTCACATTCTCAACACTTCGGAAGCTCCCGCACGTGAAAGGACAAAGAGACAACCCACGAATGGGGAAAATATTTGCAGACTATTCATCTGACAAGGGATGAATACAGAGTGTATGAGGAGCTCAACTCAGGAGGAAAAAAGTCTAATAATTTGATTTTAAAATGGACAAAAGATCTGATTAAACATCTTCCAAAAGAAGACATGCAGGCCAGGCAAGATAGCTCACGCCTATCATCCCAACACTTTGTGAGGCCAAGGTAAGTGGATTGTTTGAGTTCAGGAGTTCAAGACCAGCCTGGCCAACATGGTGAAACCCTGTCTCTAGTAAAAATTAAAAAAAAAAAAAGCTGGGGCATTGTGGTGCATCCCTATAGTCTCAGCTACTCCAGACGTTGAAGCATGAGAATCCTTTGAACCCCGGGAGGCGGAGGTTGCAGTGAGCAGAGATGGTGCCACTACAGTCCAGCCTGGGTAACGGAGTGAGATTGTGTCTCAAACAAAAAACATACCAATGGCAAACAGATACATGAAAAGGTGTGCAGCATCACTGATAGAGAAACGCAAGTAGAAGCAACAGTGAGGTATCATCTCACCCCACTGAAAATGGCTCATATCCACAAGACAGAAACAAATGCTGGCCAGGATGTGGAGAAAACAATGTACGCTGTTGGTGGGAAGGTGAGTCAGTACAGCCACCATGGAAGAGAGGATGGAGGCTCCTCGGGAAACCAAGAGCTACCAGCCTGGGCAGAGCAGTGCATGCCTGCAGTGTCAGCTACTCGGGAGGCTGAAGACCACCTGAGCCAGGGGATCACGGCTGCAGTGAGCTGTGATGGTGCCACCGCACTGCAGTCTGGGTAACAGAGCAAGACACTGTCTCAAAACAAAAACTACCGTGTGACCCAGCAATCCAGCTGCTAGGTATACACCCACCAGGAGTAAAGAAAAGCAGGGTATCGAAACGATATCTGCACTCCCATGTTTATCGCCGCACTTCGACAATAGCCAAGATTTGGAAGCAACCTGAGCGTCCCTCAGCAGACAAACGGATGAACTGTGGTGTGTATACACAGTGGAGTACTATTAAGAGGGAAAGAATGAGATCCTAGGCCGGGCACGGTGGCTCACGCCTGTAATCCCAGCACTTTGGGAGGTCAGGGCGGGCGGATCATGAGGTCAAGAGATCGAGACCATCCTGGCCAACATAGCGAAACCCTGCCTCTACTAAAATACAAAAATTAGCGGGGCATGGTGGCATGCACCTGTAGTCCCAGCGACTCGGGAGGCTGAGGGAGAGATCACTTGAATCCAGGAGGCAGAGGTTGCGGTGAGCTGAGATTGCGCCACTGTGCTTCAGCCTGTCAACAGAGCAAGACTTGATCTCAAAAAAAAAAAAAGAATGAGATTCTGTCATGAGCACTAAGATGGGTGGAGCTGGAGAACATTATGTTAAGTGAAATAAGCCAGGCACAGAAAGACAAATGTCGCATGCTCTCATTTGTAGGAGCTAAAAATTAAAGCAATTTGAACTCATGGAGGCAGAGAATGGAATGGAATGATAGTCACCAGAGGCTGGGAACAGAAGTGGGGCAGGAAGTGGGGATGGTTAATGGGTAGAAAAATATAGTTAGATAGAACGAATAGGCAGGGTGCAGTGGCTCATGCCTGTAACCCCAGCACTTTGGGAGGCCGAAGTGGGAGGGCTGCTTGAGCCCAGGAGTTTGAGACCATCCTGAACAACATGGTGAAACCCCATCTCTTAAAAAGAAAAAACGCAAAAGTTAGCCAGTAATTGGGAGGCTGAGGTGGGAGGATCACCTGAGCCTGGGAGGTGGAGGTTGCAGTGAGCTGAGATCACACCACTGCACTCCAGCTTGAGCAACAAAAAGGATCTAGTATTCGATAGCACAATGGGGTGATCACAGTCAGCCGTCATTTATTGTACATTTAAAAGTAACTAAAGAGTATAATTGGAATGTAACACGATGAAATAATACATGCTTGAGGTGATGGATACCTTATGTTGGTATAATTATATATA